CTTCCTGTGAAGGAGCTGGAGGGAAGAGTCAGAGAACAGCCTCGAGGGCTACCTGTGGGCAAGAGCACAAGGCATCTCTGCTCCCCGTCCCCTCTCCATCACTGCTGCCACCTGTGACCCCAGACTGCTGCCATTCTTTGGAGCATCTCCAGCACTAACAGCTCAGCAAGTGCTTTTGTGTCTACCTAGCATGAGGACCAACACTTTCCTTCCTTCTCTCCATGCTGGCTATGCTCCCCTCAACTTCCCTGGCCTGGCACAAGGCTGGGAATGAGAAGGATTAGTTTGTCCTGTTGTACCCCCTGGGAGCTGTTGTGCTGAGCCATGGCAGCACATAGCTCTGGTGGAGTCCCACTGGAGAAGTGGTGGGGTGGGGAGGACGGGGAGAGGAGGAGGTGCCCCTCGATGGGGCTGCTCTGGGCTCAGACTGTGCTCACCTGCTTCAGGCTTCTCAGTGCTCCTCTAGGAGCTCCAGCCTCTGGGCAGCTTAGGCTGGTTTTCCCCCTCATCTTTTAAAAATGGAGAGGTGGGGAATTTTAGAGTGAAAAGGAAATCAGAATGGCCTCTGTGGGGAGAAAGGATTAAGCCAGGCCCATCCCAGGATGCTCCGAGCCAAAACCTTTATCTGGAGGAAGCGGAGGGGAGTTCCAGCAGTGCCTGGGCACTGCTGGGAGAGCACTGGGCTCTGGAAGGGCCCTGCTGTCACCAGCTGGCCATGGGGAGAGGCCCCAGGAGCCAGGGGCACTCAGAGGAGACTTGCAGCCACATGCCCTCCCTCCCTGGTAAATGCAGAGCAGCATGGCAGGGGAGTCATCAGTCTGCACTTCCTTCCCCAAAGAGCCTCGCCCGCTCTCCCTGCTGCAGCAAGGACTGGGGTGGGGGCACAGAGCCTGCAGGCCCCCCAGGCTGACTTTCCTCACTCTTTTGTCCTCAGATGATGGATAAACCCAGCCTGGACTAGTGCAGCATCTCTAGAGGCATGCAGGCTTTCAGCCACAACTCTATGAGGCCTCGGGAGGCTGCTCATGGGGCATTCAAACCCCGAAGTTACTTGGCAGTTCCTGTGGTTTCCCCTTGGTGAAACAGCCTGAAATGCAGTGGGAGGACGGAACAGCTTTGCCTGCTTGGGGCACTGCTAAATACTGCTAAATAAATGGGACTTGCCACAGCTCCTAGAGGCACCCCGAGAGCCAGGAGGCAGCTGAATGCCTGGTGGGGCTGCGGGACAGGGACAGAGCATCCTCCCAGGCAGGGAGACCCCCCAGCTGGAGGGACAACGCTCTTGCCAGGGGCACGGCAGGGTGAGGAATAGCCAACCCCCTGGGGACACCCACCCCAACCCAAGGGCAAAGTTGGATCTGCTCCATGCCCTGCCTGTCCTCACCAGGGTAACTCCAGCGTTCACCAGAGTGAAACAGGTTGCCATGCCGTGCCATGACATGCCATGCAGTGCCAGTGGGCGCTTGCAGGAGCTACCCCTGTGATTTACAGCTGTCACCGGGAGCTGTGTCCTCGTGGAAGGTGCCTGTCAGCAGCCAGAACCACTGTGTCTTCAGTAAAGATGGGTCCTGAGTGCTGGGAGGGAGTGGCACAGCATCAACTTCGCCGTGAACAGACAAGCCAGGAGGGTTTTTTCGTGCTAAATGAAGACACAGAGGAAGTCCTGACGACACTGCTGGTTTTCTGTTTCGCTTCCCTCTGAAAACCCCCTTGAACATGCTGCTGCCATTGCAGTCACCTCTTGTATCATCTTCCTTTACAGTCATCCCAGGCTAAGCAGGGAATTCAAGATGCAGATTACTTTCACCAAGAATACGCTTGTCTGGGTTCGGCTCAGCCAAGCTCGATGTCCAGCAAGCAGTGCTGTGGCAATTTTGGCAAAGGGATGGGGGAGATCCCTCTTGGGAAGGCTCAGATAATCCTTTCTGACACATTTCCAACTACAGCCTAAGGAAGGTGCCTGAGCCAGGGAAGCCAGTGCCTCCAGCCCAGTGCCACAGTCCTTTTGTGCGCCTCCGGGAAAGGAGGAGCAAAGCCCATGGGGCTGAGTGGCTACAGAGAAACCATCCTTAAAACCTCGATGTGGTGGCACAGGGGGGCATTGCCCCCCCAGTCACTGTCACTTGACGGCGTGTCCCAGGGCCCCACTGGCATTGCTGCGGGCACACGCAGTTACCAGCTGCCAGCTTTGGCTCCTCTCTTTTTGCACCTCACGTGTCCACTCCAGATATTTTGAACTTGAGTGTTAAAATGTTCCAAGGGAAGCGTTCAGAAAATTGCTTAACAGGGAAAAACCCAGCAACCATTTCCAGCAAATACCCCTCTGTGATGCTGCCCCGTCCTGCCCACGCCTGGGCTCCCGCGCCGGCTCCCCAAGCCATCCGTGCTCCTTTCGCAACCCCACTCGCAGGAGAAGCTGAAGTGGCAGCTCCCAGCCCTCCCGCTCGCTGTTCCCAAGCTGGGGCTTGTCTTATCTGGGTTTCGAGAGGCACGTGTGTGCCCGCTCCTTCATCACACCAGCTGCCAGCAGTGCCACTCCCCTGGGGTGCACGACCACCGTGAGACCAGGGCGTCTCTCAGGCTGCTGGTGTGACACCCCATGGTCCCTGCAGCACCGCATGCCTGCTCCCTTCCTCTAGGCACCCACTTAGCCAGTCCTCATGGCAAGTAACACCGAATTTGGTACCCATCTCCAGCCTCATGGAATGTGAAGACACTCATGAATTCCCACCACCTGCACCCAGCTGGAACCTGGTGAGGGTGAGCCAAAGAGTCACTGTCCCCCCCACCCCGAGACCCACCTTCACAAACAGCTCAATCTCAGGCTCCTTGGTGGTGTTGTGACTGTCCATCCCGGCAGTGTGGGGGCAGCCTGCTGGCTACACACTGCTGCGGTGAGTTGGTCTGTCCTCTGCAGAGCTCTGACGGGTGAGGCTTTCAAAGGGCTGACGGCTCGGGCCCCTCGGCTGCTCTCGCCCCGTGGAGGGCTGGGGCTCGCCCTTTCCTTCCTTCTGAAGAAGGGAGGAGCAACAGGGTGTGCGCAGGGACCCGCCAGCAAGCGGGGGAAGCTGCCGGGGCCTCTCAGACGTGACTCAGCATGGGTCTATCTGGTCATGTTCACGAGTCCCCTTCCAGTCTATCACACCCACCCAGGCACTGCTCCAGTGCCTCTGAGCAGTGGGCTGGTGTCCCCAGCACTGCTGCCGTCACTTCCCAGCTGGAGCAGGGTTTTACAGAGGAAGCGTCTCGCCTGCCGCTCCTGCTGCTGCTGCTCCAGTCTCACAGTGACCCTTCACCACTCTCCCACCCTCATGCCGGTGTCTGGTGCCCCAGGGCTTCTTTATCTCCTTGGGGTGAACCCAGCTGACCTTCCCACTGCCTCCTGTGGCTGCATTACGATGGGTGTCTGCCTGGAGGGAGGGTACAGCTCCTCTCCCAGCCCACCACCCTCGGGGGCCCCTGGCTGGGCTCCTCTGAGCACCCATTGCTGCAAGGAGCAGGGCTGCACAGGGAAAGTGCTCAGGAAAGCCGAGTGGAGCAGCTTGGCCACCTGCCACCAGGTTTTTGAAGCCAGGGCACAGCCCTTGGGCCGGAAGGATTGCAAAACAGCCAAAGTGGGAGAGCAGAGAGGCTGGAGCAGTGTCTGGGAGCAGTGGGGAACCCCAGAGTGCCCCTGGCAGCCGCCCAGCTGGGTGGTGTGTGGCAGGATGGTGGGACGGGATGTCTCCGGGACTGACCCCCGGCAGGGCCCCATTCCTGGAATTTGGGCTGTTTCGCAGGAAGGATGAACGGCTTGCTTTCCTCCCCAGGATGGGAGGGAAATGTTTGCTGTCAGATCGCCCTGGCTGCCGTCCCAGCAGAGACAGCTTCTCAGCACCCACGGGCTTAACTCTTGGGCAAGACCCATCTTGCACCTCTGGATCCCAAAGCTGGTACCATTGCACAAAATGGGGACCCCCGATGCTTGACTCTCCCCCCCCCCCCCCCAACTCAGATAAGCTCCAACTTTCCTAAAAATAACCAATCCCTGATCAGACACCAATCCCCACTGAAGCAATTAGGATGGAAAATGATTTTGCAGGCTCCTGGAGGAGGCTCCCCAACAGAGATGCTTCTGCTGGTCCTGCTACTCAATCCAGAGTGATGCTTATGCTGGGGGCTGCAAGGGCAGATGGGGGGGCATGGGGGGCATTTTTCTTTCTGCCCCATCAGAGATTTTGGAGAACTTGGAACTTTCCTCGAGGGGTGTGTGCCGGTCCCTGCTGCCACCCCGCCCTCTGCCGCTGCCCCTGCCCGGGCGATGCTGAGCCTGCGGGAGCCGCGATGGCTCCTGGCACTGCCGACTGCTGCTGTTCTGCGCTGACCTCAGCCGGGGTCAGAGCCAGCAGCTCCAATCCGTGGCATTTCCCTCCAGCTGAAGCAGCAGGCAGGGACTTAACTCCTGCAGGCGGGGGGGCACGGGATAGCACAGTGCCCTCCCCAGAAGGTGCTGGCGTGTCCAGTACCTGGCCCCACAGAGGCTGTGGGGCAGAAGGGTGGCAGCAAAGACCGGTACCCTGCCCACAGGGTAGGGTGCAGGCAGAGTGTTTGTCTTTCTGCAGGAACAGCAGCCTGGGAGGCAGTTCAGGGAGCCTTTCCCTTCCTCCTCACAGGGTGAATGGCCGGACATTTGCCGAGATCAAGATTACAGCACATATGTATCCGGATTTCTGCCTCACCGTGCCTGGGAGAAAGCTGGGGGCACTTTGGAAACCTCTCCAAGCCCTGTCCATCTGCCCAGGGGGAACAGAGGCAGGAGGGAGGGGGCTGCCGGTTTTCTCCGCCAGCAGTGGTGATGCCAAGGCATGGCACTGGCTTACCCGTCGCAGAGTGCCTTTGAAAACATGTCCCCTCCCTAGGGGAGGTGTCCCTGTGCTGAGAGTGAACCAGCTGTCCCGAGCAGCCCCTGGCCCCGGGCAGCAGACAAAGAGCGGGTGCACATGCGCCCGCCCGGCCCGGGGCAGAGAAATGAGCCATTGTCCCCGCGCAGTGCCAGCCCCGCCAGCCACCACCGCGGACCCGGCCGGCACAGGCTGCCTGGTGGGACACAGCGGCTGTGCCATGGCCAGGCTGGTGGGGCCAGCAGCAATCCTGGTCCTCCTCTGCCTGGCCGTGGGTCTGGAGGCCAGCCCGGAGCTCTCCGGTGAGTCGGGGCGCAGGCGGGGATGCGGGAGATGCTGGGACCGCGCCGGTGTGATGGGAGGGCGAAGCGACAGCAGGTGGGTGGGGTAGGGGCAAGTGAGCTATAAACCGGGGCAAGCCAGAGGGAGTTTGCCCAAAACACTGGGATTTCTTTATCCCCACGCAGGCCTGTGATCTGAAAAACATCGCACACGTCCCACAGCCGCGGTGTGTGTGAGGGAGCGGCTGCCCTGCTCTGTTGTGCTCCCTCTGACAGTTTGGAGGCAGAGAGGCAAAGAAAAAAACATCAAGCCAGTCCCTGAGCTTTGCTGAGCCCCGCCACCCCCCAACCACGATGCTCATGCCCTCGGTGCTGGGCAGTGTGTGGAGCACCCCGGGCTGCCTGTCGTGCTTTCCCTGCTCTGAGAAGTGGAGGGAAGAGATGGGCTGAAGCTGTACCTTGTCCCTGGAAAAAGCCGATGGCTGCAGCCCCAGCCAAAACCACCCGTGAGTGGGGGTGCTGCAAGGTGCCCTGGCACAAGACACAGCAAGGGCCAGAGCCTCTTCCCCAGGGCCTTGCTGGTGAGCCTTATAGATGTAGCCAAGGCAGAAATTTGGGATCTCTTGTGCCCCAGCACTTTGAACTGTCAGGACTGGTGCAGGCAGGCTGGGCACCAGGCATTCCCCAGGGATCATCTGGGAACAGCCACGCACACCTTCTTTGTGCTTTACCGAGCCTGGGTGGGTGAAAGCCTGATGCTGCAGGGCAGGCTGCAGTGAGGAGGACAACCACAGCACCAGGGACTGTGTCAGCCACACTAGTGGGCCACCAGAATCACTGCCAAAGTCTGCATGCAGCCTCCTTGCCGTGGTACCACCCCAAAAAAATCATCTTCACAGCTGCTCACTGCCCCAAAACAGTGTGATGGAGAAACCTCTGTCCTTGTGGCACTGTTTGAGCCTTGGTTTTAAAATACAACCCCCCCGGTCCTGCCAGCCAGGTGCTGACAGCAGGGCAGGGCGGGGTTTGGGGAAACCTGTTTCTTCTCCTATTTCTTCCCCGAGTTCCCCACCATCCCTGGGATTTGGCTGAGCCCTCTGTGCCTGGGGCTGCCCAGCAGCAGGGAGTTTGGGCAGCTGCACCTCCAGCACTGTTGGGGGAGGTGGGTTTGGATTCAGTGCCAGGCAGAAGTCAAAGCCTGGGTGGGTCTGGAATCTTCAGGGGAGCCTGGCTCCTGCCAAGTGTGGGGCTGTAGCAGGGGATACAGATGAAGGGGAGGGGGGCTGGCAGCCTGGGCAGGGCCCCGTGCCCCTCACAGCCCCCAGCATCCAGTGAGATGGGACAACCATATCCCAACCAAGCTCTGGACAGAGCTTGTCCTGTCTGCTCTTTGTGGGCACTGCACCCTAAAGGGCAGAAATCCAACTCTGTGCCATCCAGGGAGCATCTTTGCATTGCACTGGAGCTTCGACCTGGCTAAAACACCTTGTTTACTGCCATCCACCCTCCTCTGCTTCTCCTTTCTCCTCCAGCATGCGGAGGAGCAATCAAGGGCTTGCTTGTGGGATGCTGGGCCCCCCGCTCATTCATCCCAGCTTGTGAGGAGAAATGTCAAGGGAGAGAGTAACTCTGGGCCAGAGGCAGCTCCCAGCTGCACCCACTGACTCCCCAGGGAGTGATTCTGGCCGCAGATGCCAGAGGGTTAGTGGCAGCAGGGAAGGTGAAAGGGGCCCTTTGTGCCTCTGAGCCTGGCACTGGTTTGCGGAGGGAGAGAGGGGGGAGCTCATGCTCCCACCTTCTTGTGTTGGTTTGGGGGAGTTTGACACACTGGGGGCTGGGGGCCAGGGTTCATGTCCTGCCCCAGGCCCCAGCTCTAGAGGGGGGGCTGGAGTGCAAGTCCCTCCGAAGACCCCACAGCTGGGGACTGGGGTCTGTGACCCACTCAGCAGCCCCGGGTTGCCCTGTCCCCACCTGCCAGCCTCAAAATGATGCTTCCCCTTTGCTTTTGTTTTATTCAAAGACACAAATTGCTCCACTCAGGGCTCTGCACATAGCTTTTTTTGTCAGTTCTTCCTGCTTCCTCAGCCTTCTCCAGCAATCAGTGCCTGCTCAGAGCACCTGGCAACTTGCAGAGCTGTTACTAAAACAGCTTCCTCGCCCACCCAGCACAGCTGATGCCAAGTAGAGCTGATCTCTGCATGTTAAACCCTTGGAGAGGATGGGCAGGACAGTCCCACCTCACTGTTCCCTGCAGGGAAAACAAGAGGGTTAGTGGTGTGTGACACAAACTAGGCAGGACTGAAAGAAAGAAGCATTCCATGATGGGAATTCAAGGAGGGAAGAGCCAGTGCCCATTGGAAGGGCTGTGGGCTGGGAATGGCTCACACAGATGCACTGGGCTTCTCCAGCAGAGACCTGGGGCCAGGCTCACACTCATCCATACCAACCCAGCCATCTGTGGGAATCCGCAGCAGCTGCTGGACCCTTTTCTCATCCAGCTCATGGCTTGACTTGTGACAGACCAGTGACCTGTGATAGAGCACATCCTCCTCACCCTGACTCTGAGATCATTGCTGGGGGACCATCCCTGGCTTATCCTTGGTGTTCCCCCGCCAGGGCTCCATAAAAAGCCCAGTTTTCTCTGAACACTTGACAGCTCCTCATGGGATTCTCCCGTATATGTTTTCTCTGACCTGTTGTCCTGCCTTCAGCTGTCGCTTCCCGTTGCTAACCAGTTCAGCTATTCCAGGCTGCTTTCCAGCCCCCTGGCAGCAGTGCTGTATGCAAGGTTTGCTGCAAGCCCATCTTCTCTGCTGCTGCCCTGCTCTGGTCCTGTTCACCCCCAGCTCAAGACATCCTCACTGCCACCAGCACTCGGGAGCCCAAGTGCCGCCACTGCCACAGTCCTGGTGTCTCCTCTGGCCAGGGCCAACCCCGCTTTCCCCTTCCAGGGTACCTGCGCAAGGTGCTGAGGAACCACACTGCTCACACCTGCGATGGAGAGCAGCTCCTCATCGTCTGCCCTCGCAAAACCACCATCAGCATCCTCGGTGCCTTCTACGGGCGCCGTGTGCCCAGCACCAACCTCTGCCCCAGCCCTGGCAACGCCTCCCAGGAGAGCACAGAGTGCACGTCGGGAACCGCCCACCTGGTAAGGGAGGGGTCGCAGAGGCCGGGCTGCGCAGCCCTCTGGCCCCGCATCGCTGAACTGCCTGCTCGGGCTGGGGGTGCAGACAACACAGCCTCCCTCTGCCCCAGGGAGGTTGTGGCCATCAGCATTGGCATCCACCTGCGGGGCCCTTTTCCCAGATTTCGAAGATAAGGGTGAAAGAGATGTTCTGCCGTGGGCCCCAGAGTGGGGTCTGGCAGGAGGCACTGCTGCGTCCTGAGGGTGCAGCAGGCTCAGGGAAAGCCCTGGCAGCTGGGGCTGGGTCCCGGGAGAGGACAAGTGCTGCAGCCACGGTGTCGGGCTCGTGAAGCGAGACAGGACACCACGAGGTGCTGTGCTCAGCTCTGTGGGTGCATCCCCTGGGGTTAGCACAGAGCTCGGCTCTTCCCCAGCCACAAGCAGCACCTGTCCGTGCTGGCAGCTCCCAGGGAGTGGATTAATGAAGTGGATCAAAGGGGGCCTGCTCAATAGAGAGAGTAGGAAAGCAGAGGTTGGCAGAAGGAAAGGGAAGGGATCTCCCCAAAGCTGATGCCTGGGTCCCTCGGTTTCACGTGCTGCTTTTCTACCCCTGTTCCAGCTCCTTGCTAGGGCTGGCACAAACCTGCAGCAAACCCAGAGGCTGCAGCTGCCTGCAGGGAAAGGGAATGAGCTGGAGAAGAGGAAAAAGAGCTGAGGGGCCAATTCCCTGCTCTGGGAGCTCGCAAGGCTTTGCTGCCTGATCCTGCTCCAGCCATAGATCCCCTCCTGGCATCCTGCATGTCCCGGGAGCTCTGCAAGTGCAGAGCCAGACCATGCTGGCATGGCACCGGGCTGGCCCCATGGAGCACCCTGCAAACACAGGTCAGGGTCCCCCTCCCTGCAGGATGGAAGGTACAGCCTGGCACAGGCATTAGACCAAGGGGCGGGTCTGAGAGCAGGTCTGTGTAGCTCTGGTTCACACCGGGGTGGAGCCGCTCCAGCCGGGGGACCGTGCTGGGACAAGGCTGGAATACCAGCTGCTGCTGAAGGAGCAGGAATGTCTGGAGGGCAGAGAGCAGGGCTGCTGCCGGGCCTCAGCTCTGTTTAGGCAAAACCTGCAAAGAGACATCGTGTTTCCTTTGTGAATCTCCCTTCTGGCAGCCAGCGAAGACCAAGGGGAGGCTCAGTCCTCTGCTGGGCTGAGGGGACAGGGACAGAGGAGGGGAACGAGAAATGAGAAGGGTCTCCGTTCTGGGCGCTGGGATCCTCGGGCGAGGAGGCAGCGAGCGTCGGGGAGAGGGTCGGAACAAACCGCTCCCTGCCGCCGGCAGCCGCTGCTCCGCTGCGGGGCCGCTGCTGCGGGAAGGAGGTGGATGCAGGGGCAGGGAGCACCACAGGCACCACAGGCCGGGCTGCCCAGGGATTCCTGCCACACCCAAGGGCCCGGCGGGGCCACCCACGGCTTGGCTGCGTGGGCAGGAGGGGACAGCGGCCACCCCGCGGGACCTCGGCGGGACCCGGGCGGCCGGTGGGTGAACCCTCGTCCCCACCTTGTGGCTGCGCGGGGACATTGCAGGGACCGCGGGGACGTGAGCGCACGGGGCAGTGTCGGTGCACACGCCCGTACAGATGTTACAGATGTGCAGCGTGGTGTGGTGCTGGCGTGCCAGCACAGTAGTAGCAGGAGGAACTAGTTCGGGAACAGGCACTGGAACTGGGGTGTCTTGCGTCGGAGGCAGGCAGGAGTAGCCGTGGGAGACCACTGTGAGAGGCTGTTTCACTGAGCCTGGTGATGCAGGTGAGCGCAGCGTCAGGACTCCACACCCACCTCACGCCTGCTTCCCTCTGCTCCCCAGAAGCTGCTGGCTGAGTGCCAGGACAAGCAATGGTGCCAGTTCTCAGTGCACAGCCAAGTCTTTGGGCCAGACCCGTGCCCTGGGACGCACAAGTACCTCATCACTTCCTACAAGTGCCGGCCAGGTGAGGTGGAGCAGGGTCTGGGTAATGCTGCATGGGCTCTTTCTGGCTGCTCAGAAAGGGGCAAGGAGGAGAGCAGGGCTGCTCTTGTACCTCACAGCCCTCCTCCAACCCTGCCCTTGCCCTAAGGGAGGGGCCACAGCTGATTCAGGACGCATTGGGACACTGCGGTGTCACTCCCCAGGGAACCATCGGATCAAGACCGTGTGTGAGAATGACAAGCTTAGGCTGCAGTGCCGACCAAAATCCATCCTGGCCATTTATTCTGCAAATTATGGACGATTCCTGCGGGGCAAACCCGAGTGTGATGCCCTGAATACTGGGGGACCCCATATAGGTATGCCAGAATGGTTCGAGACAGAAATGGGGCCAGGAGCCATGCAGAGAGTATGGCACAAGTACACCACTGGGCTGTACCTGTGCCCCTGGCCCCCAGCTGGCCAGTGCCTGGTGGACAGGGGCAGGCAGCCCTGCCTGTGGGTCCATGCCTCGTGTCTCTGCAGAGTGCTTGGCTCCAGACGCCCTGCGCAGGGTGTTCAAGAAGTGCCACCGCAAGGGGAACTGCACCGTGGCTGCTGACGAGGCCACCTTTGGGGACCCGTGCCTCCCCGGCATGAAGAAGCAGCTGCGAGTCTCTTACACCTGTGGTGAGAGCTCCCCACGGAGCTGGGGGCACAGGGGCACCGGCAGAGCGCCTGCTGTGCCCACCTCGTGCCAGGCAGGCGGGAGCACAGGGCTCCTCAGGGAGGCAGGGGCTGCTGGGGAGGAGCGGGGTGGTGATGTTTGGTGTGTGCTCTCCTTGCAGTGCCCAAGCAGCTGCTGGAGGAGGTGGGCCCTGACACCTCGGACCCCTTCCTGCTCTCGGACTACATGCACGGTAACGTGGCGGGAGGGAGGTTACACCACAGGCAGTGTGGTACCATGTCCATGCTTGGGGGAACCAGCCCTTCCATGGCCTGTCTGTGTCCCTATACCAGCTCCATCCTAGCATCTCTGTCCCATGGCTGAAGCCACCCCTTGGTCGATGCCCATGGCTGAGGGGCTGGAGATGGGTCTGCCGGGAGCAGGGGAAAGGAGGGCCTGCGGAGTCACCCCCACGAAGGATGGAGCGTGGTGTGGAGAAGGACAGGCAGGGCAGGCAGCTGGGCCACAAGGAGCCAGGAGCACCTCGTGTCTCAGCCTGCGCCCCCTTGTCGCTGCAGGTGGCTGGTACAAAGGGCCCAGGTTCTCCAGGCTCCGGGAAGACCGCATGATTTTTACTAGCTCTCTGGCAGCTTTTGCCCACCTTTGGGGTACGTGCCCTCCCCGGGTCTCACGCAGCACCCAGGGGAGCGGGACAGGCTGGGGGGTGACTGAGGTCCCAGATGGCCCCAGCTCAGCCCAGGGCTCATCTCAGAGGCAGCCGGACCCCAGACCCCTCCAGGCACGCAAGGGAGGTGGGCACCAAGCACCCGTGCTGGGTTTGGGGTGGACAGGTAGGGCGGGAGCTCAGGGGTTGAACAAGGCCTGAGGACCTTCAGCATCGGCAGTTGCAGTGTAGCTGTGGTCCTGCCTGTGGATCTTTCCTTTCCAACGGGCCAGATTACCCATTTGGTCTCCTTCCCTCCTGCCCTGTCTGCAGGCACTGATAGAGAGCACCTCTCTGCAGGCAAAAACTTCCCTTGCCAGATGAAATTACTCATTTAATTCCTGAAGAGTTGATTCCTTCCCCTGCTCTGCCTCTCCACATACCAAGGGGGGGATTCTATGGGAAAAGGCACATTTTGGGACACTGGTGGGTGCTGACGAGGCTCTGAGTGCCACTCCCATGATGACTGGGGCAGGGTCTGTCCTACCCCTGCAGCCTGGATGCTGAGGGCATCCCTGCTCCTCTCCTCTTACTCCCATATGCCTGGCAGAGGGGGTTTGCAGGCACTGGTAACCTGCAGGCTGCAGAGCAGTTTGTACCCTGGTGTGTCTCCTTGCTCTTCCCCTCAGGTGTCCCAGAGAAAGTCGGCCTCTACTTTCTTTGCGGGGTCTCAGGAGGCCTCATGCTGCTGCTGTGTATCGTCAGCCCCAAAACAGCCTTCCTGCAGGAGGTGGGGGAGGCTCTCAAAGACCCAGAGCTGGGGAGCAGCTCAGAGCTGGGCAGGACCAAGCTGCGGGATGAGCAGGATGAAGACCTTCCTGACGACAGCTCCTCAGACTCCTCCTTCCGCCGCCTCACCCGCACCTACCGGGCCACCGACAGCATCTTCAGCCCTGAGCTGACAGCAGCCATGGAGGGAGCGGTGGATCACCAGGGCTACGGCGGGGAGGAGATCTGGATGCCCAAGGAGTCCAGCCCGTATGCCATCCATAAGATCAAATCAGCCACCAAATAAGGACTGGAAGAAAATGGGTGGGGAGCAGCAGGGGGTGCAGGCTCAGCAGTGGGACCCGACATCAGAGACATAAGAGTTTGGGCTCCGTGAGGTGACTGCACATCCCGAGCCGCAGCAGAGTCACGGCAGCTCCAGTGTATCCATCAGCCCACTACTCCACCAGCCTGGAAACCTCTAACCTGGGGGTGAGATGCGGTCCCTGGTTGTGATGAGGGGCTGTGGGATGGCTCCTTTGCCACAGACACGCCGCTAACCCTAAGCTAACCTCCCTGTTCTTGGCTCGCATCATGTGGCTCTAGTGTTTAACCCTGCTCAGCCGAGCCCACCCTCAGCGGGTGTTTGCTCCCATTTCTCCTTGGGTGTTGGCTTCCACCCCTGGTGCTGCAAACACATCCTGTACTCAAGGAGCGTAGATAGAGAGGCAGGAATGGCCAGGACGTGGTGGGGATGCAGGTGGAGCAGATGGGCAAGCACAGGGGGCATCACGCAGCACAGCTCCACCAAGGTGCATGCCATGCAGCCCTGGTGCCCTAGGGGAGTTGCTCCCTGGGCTGGAGCAGCTCAGCACAGCACTGGCTCTCACCTCCCTGAGGGCATTCTGGAACTCTGTCACCCTGCCTTGCTCTGTGCTTTCCTTCGTGCTTTCCCCACTGTCAGGAAAGCCCCTGGCTTAACTTGCTGGGGGTTTTTCCAATAAATAAATGCAACAGCTTTTGGACTCAATGTCCCTCCCTGACCTCGGCCATTAGTAGTGAAAAGAGGAGAAAAAGGAGGCAAAGTTCAGCCCTCCCTGTGCAGAGCAGCTCCTTGGCTTCTACCAGTGCTGGCACTGGGCCATGGGGAGCAACAAGTTGGGCCTGTTTTATCATGGGAAAGGATAAGGTTTCAGCCTGGGGAAGGGAAATGGGGGAGAAGCAGCCTGTGTGGATTCCATGAATGATGCTTCCTTGTCCTTGCTGCTTCTCTTGAGCCTGAGGCTCCCTGTCTGGTAAACAATCCTGGAGCTAAGGTCTCCAGATGCCACGCAGAGGGGCTTCTTGGCAGCCCTGCAGTGCCAGGGAGCTGGGCTAGGGCTGGGGGCTGCTCCAGCTCTGAAAGGCAGCTCTGTGGTGCTGTGGGAAGAGGCTGGATGGAAGCAGTGACCCAGCTCTCCTCACAATAGGGACACACTAGGCACAGATGCTCTTGAGCGAGCACACAGCAGAGCCTAGTGGGGGGAGCCAAGGACTTGCATCCTGCCTGATTTGGGTGTTTGCTGAGGAAATGCCAGAGCCCAAGGAGAGCTTGAGGGGCCCTCACCTCCAACCGGCCCCCAGATCCTTTGGTGATGGGCAGGGCTGAGAATCACAGCCTTCCCTCCATGTGCCAGCTGGCACAGCTCCTGCTGCAGACCCACGTCATCACCTTGCACTTCTTGCTCCCCTCATCTTTCTTCCCATACCCCCCATGGCTGGGGGGGATTTCAGCTCGTATGGTGCAAGTCACAGCCCCTGCAGCAGGGCTGGGCTTCCCAAGAGCCTCCCAAGGAGCACTAGCACAGCAGCACTGTGGAGACTGGAAAAGCCGGCTTCCCCATGCCAAGCCTGGGCAGGACAGGCAGACATAGACCTGTCCCAAAGCAGGCAGCTCATCCCAGCCCCCACAGAGCCATGGGCAGAGTTGGATGGGGGTTTTGGCTGAGGATCTTACCCCACAGGGCAATGCACCATGTTTCCATTGGTGATGGGATTTGTCCTGGCTCTGCCTGGCTAGTATGCATCCAGCTCATACTTTTGTCTGGGCTATACACTGCCCCAACATGCATGAGGATCCAGGCAGGCACCTAGATCCCACAGGGATCCCAGAACAACAGCGAGCAAGCCTCAGAGAGCTCCCAGGCCAGGGACAGCTGCAGCGACACTGGGATAGGTGGGGCTGGAGAGGACAAGTGGCCAAGGAGGGCACAGGGTGGGCTGGAGCTGCAGCAGCCCGGAACCAGTTTTGGGAACTGAAGGGACCCAAGATCAGTGGGACCCAGGTTTAAACCCCCACTGGCCCTGTGAGCACCCCGTAGCTGTGCTGCACCCCAAAGTCATTCTGGTGCTCCTGTCCATGTCCCAGGTCCTTCTGCTGGAGACGTGGCAGAGCTGCCTGCACGCAGCCCAAGCCGTGTGCCTGATCCTGCCCGCATGGACCCTGGGTGGCAGGTTTAAATCCCCTCAGATGCTGGCACTGGAGTGCTTCCCTGGCCAGGGCTTCACTGGCCCCACCAGCACATTAGCACATGGGTGTGGGATTATACCAAAGGATTTTCTTGGGCTAAACCTAGGAATCTGCAAAGTTTTTTCTGGGAATCTGGTGGCTGGGGGAAGCTCTCCTCTGCTGTAGCACAGAGCTCTGCTGAGTTTACCTCAGTGGGGGCTTCGTTTGAGCCAGAGCTCAGTGCAGTGCTAAAGCCCCCCAGAGCTGCTGAGGGCACGGGACCCCCACACGGCACTGGCACATGAGCCAAGGACTGTGCTAGTTCCAACATGTTCTCTGGAAAGCCACGAAGGAGCAGAGTGATATAGTGAGCATCAAATGTATGAGCTTGGAACATCAATCATGCGACTGACACATGAAAAGTGGGTGACTTTTCCAAGACTCGTTTATCAAGGAACAAAGCAAGCTGCGTGTGTGAGGAGTCTCATGCATTCCTTTCCTGACACATGGAAGCTGACTACAAGCCAACCACATTATCCCATGAGTATGACAGCCTTGAGCGAGCCTTCTCTGAGCATTCCCGGCTGCATGGCAGGGGTGTCCTCCAGAGCTGCGACGCCTTCGAGGCTGCTCCTTGAGGCACAGAGAACTCTGACCCTCGGCAGATCTTTGGTAAGCAGCCAGTATCACATATAGCTCATAGTACAGGGACTGTGATCTATGCTTTGGTAACTTTGACCCTGTCCTGGTCGCTGTGGATCCCGGTTTGAAGGGGGTGGTCCCAGCGAGCCTCACCACTGAACTTGGTCTGTTGTGCCTGTAGGACACCACATGAGCACTGCTCCTGTGGTACCTCCCAGTGAGAGCAGGGTTAGATAAAATATTCCAAAAAATTCTTCCCTGTGAGGGTGGTGAGGCCCTGGCACGGGTTGCCCAGAGAAGCTGTGGCTGCCCCACCCCTGGAAGTGTCCACGGCCAGGTTGGACGGGGCTTGGAGCAGCCGGGGATAGTGGAAGGTGTCCCTGCCCACAGCAGGGGTTGGAACTGGTCCTTCCCCACCTAAACCATTCTGTCATTCTATGATTCTCCAAGTGATCCGAACCCTCCGTTCCCGACGGAGGTCACGGGAGGTGCACAGCCCACCCGGGGCACACCCTGTCCCCCAAACCAGAGACCCCAGTCCCATGAGAAAGGGTAGCCCTGCAGTCAGGGGTGGGGGGGAAACTGGAAGACCCACAGCTCCAGCTGCAGGCAGAGGCAGCGGACTCAGAAACCCGCAGAGATCGCTCACAGGATCACAGAATCAGTTAGGTTGGAAAAGACCTCTGAGATAATCGAGTCCAACCCTATTGACCCAACACCACCTCGTCTACTAGACCATGGCACTGAGTGCCTCATCCAGTCTCTTCTTAAGTACCTCCAGGGACGGGCAGCCCATTCCAACGCCCAGTGTCCCATTCCAGTGCTCAATCACCCTTTCTGTGAAAAACTTCTTCCTAATGTCCAACCTAAACCTCCCCTTG